CGAGACGTTATCTACGGTACTGTTAAACAAAGGTGGACTTGGAGCATCCGCTGTGTGGTTGGGTTGCTACAAGCAACCTCTATTGCGACCTGGGTTCACTTGAGGTGGACCTCGGTCATTCCGATCACAAAGACCGTAGGTAAAATGGAATTATTACGGTGTAGCCAGTGTAGGGATGAGAAACATCGTAATAATTCTACTGTTAAACAAAATAAAATTCAAGTACATAATTACATACCTCAACAGTGCCCGTTTAATCCTGAAACAACCGGGTATTCTTACAGTTACACAATGAAATAGCGTCAGCGCACTTGCTACTCTACAGCAAGGCCACACAGCACAAATTCAAAGAGAGGAAGACGTGGGTATTTTTTAACCTGTCCGAACTCTTAAACCATTGGTCCGCGGCACGGCGCACAGGAAGATACAAGGTGTCATTACATTCAAATGTAATGAGATTAACGCGTCTCGGTGCTGATATGGGATCAAAGACCAACAAGGGTCTGGGTCCCTTGGGGTTAGTAGCACTTGGTGGTAGTGCACAATCTTCTCAGCGGGTTTGAGGGTAGAGCAAGTCCATGTCGAGTGGGAATTTACAAGGAGCAATACAAACATAACAAGGGCTCGTGTAGCTTTGGGAGTAGTAGCACAGGGTAGGAATTCACAATCTTTACAGGTAGACATGACTAGGAAAACAATGAATAGTACAATAGCCGGTAGGAGCAGGCGTCAGCTAAGGTTATCTGGAACAAGTCTTGATACCATGATGTGAGTTGCAAGGAAAACATGTGGCTTTGCATGGTTAATCGCAGGCGGTAGACAAATAATGGGTTATCCGGGATCTCAGCAGAAGGCGCAGATAGGGTTGTTACCTGACGAAGACCTTGACACTCAGACTGCGGTTTTCGTGGTAATTCTTTCTCCTACAGGGATCTCATAATGGTTTACCAGTTTCTGTAGAATTCAAACCACATTTGCCGCCCGCTGCTGGAATTGAACCACAATACTTACCTAAGAGGTCATCCACTAAAAATGACAATACAGTATCGTCGGCTTGAATGTCGTAGAAATTTATTTCCCTTCACGTGTGCCCACCTTGGAATGCTCTTCTTAATTATGTCCTCTCTGATCCCAATTTGGCGCTATTAAAAAATCGGCTGACAATGCTTTTTCTTTTTTGCATTTCATTTTATGGAATGTTAATCAGGGACTACAAAACATCATCAAACGGTGTCTTACCAAAATGCCTACCAATGGATTTACGGATTTTGCTTTTAATACGCGAACATATCCGCTAGTGTACATAAGTCTATGGTTAGTTCACAAAAACCCTTTTTAGTTTAACATGCAATTTAATTTTCGCAATAGTTTCCATCCCACGCGACTTGTTAAGCATTGGTTTTTTACCTGTAATACACTATTGTTTCATTGTCTCATGCTTCATTATTTGGGCCAAGTGAATGAAGTATGAGGAGAAACAGTAGAATGTTCCTTCGAATTCAGTCGAAGAATGAAAATGTAGTGTGTTAACAAGTAGCTTATTATCCTGCTAAAGCCGCGAAGTTGAACAGCACAAGTGTGGCTATTTACTCTGCCAATGCGAGCACTATGCAGCTAGCAAGCTTAGTTAGGGTGGTTACAACCTGGTGAATAATGGGAACAAATAAATAGGGTCTACAGAAGATGCACAAAACAGGATATAAACCAAGTAGTCGAAAACACATTAAGAAGTTGCTCTACATTGGGTGCCTTGGAGACCATACGTCGATTATGAAAGAGTGCTGGTTGAGGAATAAATTTACTTTCTGCAAACCTGACATGCTGGAGGGACTGGAAGGCACTTAGAAATATGCCACCCACTGTTCAAATGAAGAGTTCTAGATGGTTATGAAATGAGTAATACGTTCACATACTACGTAAGCAAAGATAAAGGGGTGCAAAGCGACAAAAATTTGGATAAGATGAAGAACTAGCTACGTATTTTGGAGTTTATGTTACCCATACCGAACGCGAGATAGAACTTATTTGACGCAATTTGCCTATGGTCTTTGAAACATGTTTGGAGAAACGAGGCAAAACAGCTAATGTGGGTTGGCTTGGGAAAATCCCGAGGGCCATTCATCTTTACTAGGTTGCACATGGTAAGGAGTGCAGTGTTCTCGGGCGCGCAACTCCCAACAACTACCTACTTCATCAATTACGGTCTCGGTGATCGATCGGACCAAGGTTCACTTCTATGGGGAGCGCGGTCCACACTGAGAATGTGCGCCGTAACCCCTTCACATTACGGGCATTTCAAAATGACTCTCCAATCGCAGGGAACTATTTCAGCTGAAGGATTGGACTGCAGATGGGACCTAGTATTTATTAAGCACCTAAAACCATAGTAGCTGTCTGACCAGTGACGTTTGTTCATATTGGTATTGCAAAACAAACCTGCTACGTGTTATGAGGAACTAAAATCGATTTAAATCAAAATTACTATGAGAAAGATCCTTGATTTTGCCGGATTCACTTTGGTGAGGACTACAAATCTGACGGTGCTCAAACTTAGCCGTTAGTTTTTCGTGTGAGCATCCCTGAGACAGTATAGTAGAGTGCCGTCTGGTGTAACTTGATGAGACCAACAGGTACGTAAACGCTCACAGCCAAACGAGGGCCAGTGTCACGTGACTGGTCGCAGGTCTTCTTAAGATTTTATCGTTTCACTATATCCGTGCTGGTGAATTGTAGTCAAATCGATGTGTACTTTGTTTAGAAACTGGTACAAGTTAATCTGTACTGCGTTGTCTGTATTACATCGAAGGAGTTGTGGCTGAATTGCAATATCGGTAATAACACATTAATTGTTATTTTTTATACTCCCCTTAAGGGCCGTTTACTGTCTGTACCCCCCAGGTGGCCGATAACAAAGTTGGTTCTGTGTCCAGAAAGACGCGAGTTATTGAAGTTGTAACTTATCCAGCATTGAGAATCACCTGACGGTCTTCGCCTAAACGGATGAGCACAGAAGTGCCACTTCTTTAATGTAGGTCTAGCCGTTACCAGACGCTGTTTTGGATGTTAAACAATCGTTCTTTAGCTCTAGTACGTGTGTTGTGATTGCGGAAAAGCAGTTCTTCCCCAGGCAATTATTATATGGCGTTAAGTTGACTGAGCTCCGAAGAGTTTTGCCTTTTCGTCTAAAAGGGTTGTTGTGTAAAATCTAGATTGTGCGCACAAACGTACCTACGGGTAAATTAATGACCTCAAGCAGCTGAGAGTACACACATGTATAAAATTTTTGGTAGTAGGCTGCAAGAAAATATGCTATTCACGTTCTCTCACCTACTTGTGAACACCCTAAAAACCTTTGAATTTCTAAATGTATTTCGTACCATTAAATTGGAAACTAACTCGTGTAGAAATGGTCTCAGGCTGGAAAAAAAGTACCGAAGAAATGACGATATGACCGTTAAATAATGATGAAGCTTTCCAATGCTTACTCTTGTGTAGGTCGTTTATTAAAAAAGGAAGGCAAGAGAATAACCAAAAGCATTTGAATTTCGTATGTCTGTGTTAGCTTTTCCGTCTGTTTACTGGAATATTTTGGTACTGGCAGATGCTGATGTCAGGGTTCTACCGATGTCCATTATACAAAAGGTAATCACTAACACTTACTACAAACGACATCATTGATGATAAGCTGAATACAGTTAGTTGTTATTAGCCAAACTAGTTAATGCAAACGAGGTAAACGCCTTTAGCGGAGCTGTGCGTTATCAAGCCCTGCCCCCAGGTTGCGGATTGGGGAACACCTTCCTTGGGAAGCTAACTACAAAGAAGTTCCGTTTGCCATTCAGTTGCGTACCTTAAGAGCATGCCTCTTAGAACTTAGGGAGTTCTGGACTGATCACTTGGTTGTCCATCAAATGCCGCAGGAGCTCGTACGGAATGGTACCAAGCCATTGTGACCGGCTATAAAATCAATGCTCAGGTACTACATTAACCAGTGAGTATCAAAAGGGTGAACAATCCTGTTGGTCACTGGCGTCTGTCTAACACGCTACCAAACACAAAAAGGCAGTGGAGCCACCTGGCTGTCAATAGTCTTCGTATCCAACGACTGGTTGGAACTTCCAGCGACATGAGTTATTCGCTCAGTTGCCTTACCGATTAGTCTTTTAGGACCCAAAGTTCCGGGTTTGGTCCCTTAAATAAACTATCTTTCTCGGCCTGCGGAACCGTGAATTCCTCTGCCCATGCAACACATGAACTTGTTTAATCCTTGACTAGCTCTAACCCTTTATACTTGTTGCCTGTGTGTTGTTTATTTAATGATGTGTAGACTATACATATATATTTATCTAAATATACCACACAGCGACATTAATTTCCCCTTGTGGATACAGCGAGCAAAGTGTCAAGCGAACCAAACGCCTCTACAATTTCTTAGTTTTAAGTGACGCAGCTAGAAAACTTGTTATAATGCTCTCAAAATTAACTCATCTCCGAAAGCCACAAGAAGAATAACGTGAATATAAGCTTTGGTTGTAATAATGAAACAAACACTACGCTTTGCCAATTTGTGGGTTTCGAGCTTTCTCGACTCAAACGTTGGCAGTCAATAAACACAATCCTGTCCACATACTTAGTAGTAGATCAGGGTCAACCATACTCATGTTTACATGAAAAGCTTTCTATAACTCCGAGTTTAAGTCTAACCATACATTTCCAACATGTTAAGCAGAAAGTGGTTGTGACAGAAATCACGTGACAACGTACACAACATTTATTCTCATTGAACTTTTAATGTTGTACATATTATAATACTATCCACATTCATGTAAAGAAAAGCACTATGTTAAAAAAAAGTCAAGTATGTTCAAATGTCGACCAACACAGTATGTAAAGTGTTCTGATCGAGCTTACCGTGGGTCGATACGGTTGCGCACAACGGTCGCACAACGTCTACAACTTTTAAATACTTCCAGCGCACTTTTGGGGTTTAGGAGAATATACTAGTTGAACTGAAGATCCTTGTAACGTTCTATCAGAGTGACAATGTTGGTATTGTATGTGGTATTGGTTCGTACAACTCTAGGGCATTCAGCCCTTTCAAAGTTTCCCTTAACCATTTCGTAGTATTTCCCATCACTGAGCGTCAGCGACCTCAAGCGCGGACACTTCATTCTGAAGCAAGGAAAATAAAGCCAGATCAGAACACATGGCTGCAGTTGTGAGTCAATCAGTTAAATCATTATATGGTAGGAAACAAATAGATCAAGATGTTGGGCATACGGTAGGAAAATACAGTCCAAAAGCACGCCACCGAGAATTCCATGAGAAAAGTGCAGATGATGATAACTGCGGATAGGTGGCTTTTAACTGAGCGAAAAATTCTGATTTAGTGCTTCATCATTAGGGGAAGTACACAAGTCCGGTGTATCAGACACAGAATTTCACTAAAATCCTATGCGGTTAGAAACTGCATCGTCCTGAACTTCTGGTTGTCAGGCTTATATTATGTCGTAGCATTTCGTTAAGTAGAGCGTAAAATGAGACTGTTGGTACCGACATATTATTATACCAAAACCGTTATTTATCATAGAAATTACTAAGATGTTGAAAGTGATGTCGAGAAATGTCAACTCAAGTAGAACGACGCAAGGCGATGTGGTTTATCCACTAGGTCCTAGCGCTACGCAAAGCGGAATGCTGTAATCGGCAACGCATGAATGATCAGCTGAACAAGAAAATGTGAAACTGCTTCGTGATTAGGCATTTTATTTATAAATATCGGCGATTAAACGCTCGCTACAATCAACCGCAATCCAAGGCCGGTTTAGCTCTCACTTGCAGCCCAAAGGTAACAATGATTGAACAGAGATTCTGCACAGCATTTGGAGTTTGGCGCTAAAGGTACTTATATTAGAAAAAATGAGCAAGATTAGTCAAAATGGCTATTGATTCTCAGCTGAGCTGTATGCATGTGTACCATTTGTACGAATGGATTGTGACACCCAATCTCAGTTTAGACGGTAGTTTACACTAGCAGGTAATAGGGAGGCATGCAAAGCGCTAATAATGACCTCCGGTTGTCAAGAACCGATGTAATATCTGACAACAGTAAACTAAATAGTTTAAAACAACTTTACTGCTTGTAAATATCAATGTGAGGAACAGCTTGAACGAAAAACGATTGATACAAAAGGGGACTTCAGGGCCAAACGGATAGTACATTACATATACTTGGAGATAGTGCCTCGTGAAAACTGTCGGGAGTTGTTACGAGCCCCTCAGTAAATAACTGTCGAATGTTGGCTGGTTTATCAATCTATTTAATAATGAATTGCATAATCAAGGTAAATATTACGTCCACATTACACCCGGAAACACGACGACGAGTTAACTCAGTGCAATGTCCAGATGACAGTGATTATGGGACAAATTCATTCAGTCGTATATTGGGTCCGTAAGGTAGTACGGTGCCTAACACGTGCCGATTTGTGGCAGAGAATACAAGTAAGAGGCAAAACGTTCACCGTCGAAAAACAAGTACGCAAGTGTCAGAAATTAAGGCGAAAGAAATGTTTATCTCATGTGGGGCCTTACGGTTAGTGGGACAAAACATAACAATGATAAAAGCCCTTTTTCACAATGTGTGAGACATTCGAAGGGTTTAAAATTCATTAATGTGAAACGATCGATAAATAGGGGGAAAATCTTACCATCCTAAAGGTCTCCATAGACTACTTGCATCCGCGATTAACTCGGGTTTTCTAAGCCGTAATAAGAAGGATTGAACAACTACCAGTTTGTTTCACGCTAGATCTACCTATTGCTAGTATTGGGGCCATTGATGCATCCATTATGCACACAAGGTGCAACGTAGGCTTGGATGACCAATATTAAGACATACGCCCATCGGGACCTATTTTCTTATGATTCCGTAAAAGTTATATCACTACAACTATCAGTAGGTTAAGTACCGCATGCTTTTAAATGCTTCAGACATAACTGCACATTTTCACTTGTTTTGGTGCTTTTGTTAAACTAATCTAGTGATCAAGCTAACAAGCTGATTGCGCGTGCTTTCCCATGCGAAGATAAGTGAACAGATGATATAACACAATGCTGATGGCAAATCGGCATTAGCAAGTTTTAGGCGGATCAAAAATAGCCAGTTTCCAATCCATCGGTTACTGCGTTTGTTGCAACCATAACACCTCGTGGAACGCAAGAAATGTGTCTACCACGTATGCAAACCTGATTGCATACATATATACATACGGATGGATGCAATATATTACAAATCCCACCACGAAGAATAACATATATCTCTGATATTTACCATTGGTCTGATACCAGATTCCACCGATATTCTGAAACACTTTCCTGGTAGTGACCACGGATTGGTCTCCGGACTTCCAATAACGACTGCCACCAATTCACAAATGCTCTCAAGCCACTGTGAATCAGCTTATTGGGACACGTTTGCTAATTTAACCAGTCCTCTTCAGTGGGACGGTTTGTTCCTCAGCAACCGCCCGAAATCTGCAGCGGGTGCTCTATATAACAACGTCAATCTCTGTCTTAACACACTGGTTGCTATCAAACATATGCGCTTTCCTTCATGTTGCGAAAAGCCCGTTTCACGAAAAACAGTTGTTAAGCTCAAAAAACTACCTACGGCACACTGCAAGGCAAATAGATTCTCATTCATGATTTAACACCCTAATTTGACCACATCGCAGAAGCTGGATGATCACACAAAACAAATTGCTAGTGAAAGATTGGCCCTCGACAGTTGCTTAAACAACTGTGGATTGATAAGTCTTTTAAATAAGAGAACTACTAACCACATCCAAAGCTAATCTCGCCCGTAGCAAGAGCTGGCTGCAAGACAACAGACCCTGATCAAACTAGCGCCATGCTTATGTAATATTTCTGCACCACCTCCAAAGTGGATAGTAAACTCATATGCATATTCTTGCCCCTGGTGAAGGTCGATCAGTGCAGCTGCATCAGATTTGAGTTCCACGATATACACAAACTTCTCAGTTGCAATAAGTACCATATTTCGATGACTCAGAGCATATTCTCTTGTAGTTGTTAAATTAGACTGGATGACATCCCATGCCATTACTGAGCATGTCCAATCTATACATAACCACCGGCACGGTACCAGCGAAGTGGACAGAGCCCATAGTTTTTCCACAACAGAAAACAAGAGCCATGTACGGGATTAGAAAAATCGTTCAATAAACGCAACATCTATTTTAGCAAAATGTGTGGAGTGCGATATTAAAGCTAAAATCGTCGAATTCATAATACCAAGTAAACGAACAAACAAATCAACATGGCTTCTTAAATAATCAGTCTTACATTAGGGGTTACCTAAAACCACCTAGCTGCTTCGCATGATCTTGTAATGTCGCCATCGCTAATTTATCTCGAAATGCACACGGCTTTTGATCGCGTGTTTCATGAAAAGCTAATTGCTAAAAGGATGTCCTACAGGATCGGCGAACTCCAGCTTCCTCGAACCGAACGCACGTGGTACGAATTCAAGAACACAAATCTGAGTCTTTACCTGTTACCACTGGTGTGATAAAAGTGTTTTTGGGCCGCTGCTACTCTTGGTAAACCTTAAAGATATCTTTAAAGTAGTAAAATTTTAGTACGCCATAATTGTTTGCCGATGGCATTAAAATCGTTTTTTCCTTTTGTCCTGATGCCTACAGTGATGCTGTAAATATGATCCAACGCGACCGCAATGCGGTTGAAATCTAGTGTTCAAAGTGGGAAATGTCTCTTTCTACTGACCTATGCGGTGCAATGTCCCACATGTGCGATTTGTCTCATAGTGGCCTGACTCTTGATGACAAACAACTTAATCACTGCCCTATGGTTAGGGATCTAGGATTGGGATATTCACGCTCACGGCTTCCGTGAACACATGGGATATGCCACCGCGAGAGTAAGCGAGCAAATTGGATTGGTATTCAGGACGCTATCCCTACAGGAATAAATGCTACATTCATATATAACATTTGTTCGACTCACGTTGAAATATTGTTCAACGTGTATAGCAGCTCAAAAAAGTGTTGTCGCATTGCACTGGGCAAGCGTAGAGTGAACTCACAAAACGCCTCCTCGTTGCTTTTTCAAAACTAAAATATTCTATAAGATGTGTTAACTTCAAAGTTGATCCGCTCGGACTACAGCGCATAAAAACCTAGTTACAGTATTCCATATCTTGCACAAAAAAATACATGCTTCCAACTCCGATGTAAAATTACTGCAATCAGCAGTCTACAACACACGAAACAAACAGAACCCAGTGGCGGATATAAGTCCAGGACCAGCAGGTCTGCCAATTTGTTCCTCAGCAATTACGCCAGAATCTGAAGCAACCCACCACCCAGAGTAATTGCCTGCATATTGAACACGAATTTTGAAAAAGCATCAGCAACTTTCTTTTCTGTACTCGTTATCGAACTGTCTGATTGCTTTCTAACAACTTGCCGCGCATACGAGTAGGGTGTGGGTTTCAGTTGACGAATTTAATATCTCAATCTCATATTCTCTTCTGTGTTTCAGATGTTTTATATGTGAGAGAAAGGTTAAAGGCAAGTGAACCTCATTTCAATTCAGTCATTCATTTATTATGCCTTCGCTGTCTTTCCAATCCTCAGTAGTTGATCTAATATTTAATTTTCCTGATCCACCTTGACTGACCTTATAGGAAACTGCGTAACTACCCTACCATGCCAACAGACGCTTGTCTGACATCGTCGAGAATAAATGTTTATTGATGTATTTAACCACTTACTTATGAGTCGTCAGATGAAGAAAGCATTTATGTTTTGGTGTAATCTTGCAAAAGAAAAGCAGAAAAGGTTACACCTCAATTGTTAATTATAGGAAATACCCAATGTGATCCTTACAGTAAATGTGATCACTTTGACTTGTAGGGGAAAGAACTTGAAATCGGAGTCAGACGTCTCCCGCTTCTGTCTCCGTGGACTGATGCGTGTATCAAACTGCGAATCTACTCTGGTAGTCTTAACAATAGTAAATTAAGACTTCAGCGTAACAGCTTCCTGGTCAGCTTTCTCCAAATGCCTGGGAAAACATTAGATTGCACTCTTAGCCTGTTGGGCCATATCGTTAGTGCACATTCATCGGATCCACAAGGATCCGGATCCATTACCAACAGTGGTGTGCATAGCGAGTCAGCAGCTTATGCCATTGGGCCATACGGGACAGAGTCAGGACGCCATGATTTACAAGCTAACTGCGATATGGCTCTCCTTATCCTGCACTACAATGCAGTTTACAAACGTTGCAATGGACAGGGTTGGCCCCGAAAGACACCACGTCCACTGACAGTAGCTATGTACAACCTAACATCTGAAAACTGTTAAGGTGGATATTTCGATGCACACTTGAGTAGATTTTTAATGTAATTAGTTGGTAGGTGCAACCTCTAAAAATCAGGCATCCATAATACTCATTAGTTTGAATCACCTGAGAAAAGTGTACAAGCCCCAGTTTCAGAGGAATAAATTCTCATTCACCGCTAACCAGTTGCAATGGCGATAAGTATTCATGTCGGAAGAACAAAAGGCTACGAACAACAGAAATGTTAACGGGTGCCGGATACGCTAACCTGATTCGATCGATAAACTTTCGGCTTTTGTCGGAAAAACGAATGGTCTCTGGATCCCATTGTATTTCCAGTGCAGTCAAATTTGGACAATGTGCCGCGAAACCTTCCAAGATCTTATCAATATGTACACGGGTGTTGTACTTGAAGAACCATCCGTGAGCTGCACCGAGTACACATATACTGAAAAGCAAAAATAATGAAGATTGTTATCAGTCTGGATTTTAACTGCACTGTTCGGCATTAAAGGAAGAATGCAAATAAAACGTTATCATCAAATATCGTTATCAAATATTAAATATATAAATGATTTATTCTCAACAGTGCGAGACACGCCTTCAAAGGCACGATCGTGGTAATACATTTGTGTAACATCGTTAACGGTACAGAAATGTTCAAGTTAACAAGTATATACTGGATATATATGTGTATTTATGTGCGTGCATGTGGAAGTCACCATGTTAAGTAAATTTCTCATTATTACTGTGAGTTTGTGGGTTGGTTCGGTGAATTCGCCAACATAGTAAGGGCTCCGATGAAATCTTTAAAGTGGTTGACTTTAGGGAAATGGGTAAGATTATCTAGTAAGGCAGGTGGCGGTGACTTTATCAGTGGCGTGTCATATACACCACGTCACATGGTTGTTCAGCAGATATTTGTGGCTTTTTAAAGGGAGAGCGCTTGTCGGGCGGTAACCCACCACATCCTGGAACACTGCCGCCGAACTATTAGCTGGACCGGGATTAACCCCAACCATCCAGCTGGCCCTACGCGAAGGTAGCCATTTCGAAATGTATGTTCCTGTCTTGGGGTATGCATAGCTTAATTTCCTTCAATTGTGCGTGCTTAGAAATACACTTTATCTTTTACGTGGGTGCACATGTATGCTTTTGAGGATGACTCGCCGACCATTAAACATAGGCTTAGTGTCCGCACCTGTCATACAGCAATATCAATAATCCCATATATATTGTAAAGTTATATCAGATCTCTTTTGTCTAGATATATTTTTGCTGCTACCCCTGTGCTTAATTAGACCATATACCACATCATATTAATGTGAGACATTCAAAGTGCGTAAGCTTTCCGATGCTAAAATGATTGTCTGAAAAAGTTTCAGTTTGTAGGATGTATCCAACTTTCTTTCAGTATGAAATATTTTCATAGTTATTCGTCAAACAGGTTATGCTAACCGGATAGACTTCAAGTTTGGTATGACTGTAGTCCAGAAGTATTCTGCAAGCGTTGGTTTACCATGTAGCATCAGACCATGCAGATTGTTTCCATGGGTTTTCAAGAAAGTTGTCACAGACTGCTCTCCAAGCGAGGGTGTATAGCTCAGGTCGATGGCCCTCAGGTTACGTAACTTTCCGCTTTCACAAAGATAATTCAAATGCTGCGACAATGGAAATGGGAAACTTTCACATGGATTATTTAATTACGGAGTTACAATTTTGGACAGTGCATATCAACTGCAATGGGCTGGATCACAAATTGTAAATCTACCAGTGCATCTATGAATCCTACTAAAGGATAATTTTTATTTCACATCTCCGAAACGGTATTAAAGCTGGAATGTCTACTGAAATAACAGGCTAAAGAACAGGTGACGTAATAAGTGTTATTGGCTGGAGAAACAGTGCCTATAGAAACAACCATATTAGAGAAGCAAAATCGTCTCGAATAAAATGAAAGTGTTTAGCATAACTACAATTCAGTTTAATGTCTAGCTACCATGCATGATGCAAGTTTAGGCCTGCTTACTTCATACTGCATGCTTTGGACTTGTCATAAAGCTGTTAGCTTCTGCTCTGGTCATCAGCCCAAGACGAAGTAAGTTGTAATGAACCCAGTTCTTATTTTTTAGGCGGTTACTCACGGTAAAAACTGAGAACAAAACAATTTGTTTGGGCCATAGGGATGGCAATTTATCCCTCTGTGTGGAATATACTTGGAACCGACTGGGATCTCATGATTTCAGAAGGTTTTGAATACAAAGCGATTTTTGAATGATTTGATTATGGCAACATTTCGCCCTTGAAGTAAGTGCTTCTTCAGGCCTGAAGAAGCTCATGAGTCAAGAGCGAAATGTTGCCATAAGCGACTCCTACAAAAAGCGATTTGTATTCAAAGCCGTCTGATATCTTTCCCTTTGCTATATATAAAGTGAAGATAACAAATGAATCCTGTGTATGTGTGAAGAACCTATTATTTTTCAATTGAAGTCAAATTACACTTCGACGGATTAATATGAACCTGCAGTTGGTTCATTTAAAAAATAAATATTTGGTTTAGCGTTTAGCCACAAAGGTGGAGTGATCTAGCGGAAATGATTATCATATGATGTTAGGTGCTCAGGTCGAAATGTACAGAGATTTACTCCCGTCTGGTTCAGCCCACTCTAGAGACTGGTAACTTCTCATAACATCGTCTGCTCTAAGAGTTGGTGCAGGTTTGGAAACAATCGTTTAGTGTATTAGTTGGGCGACGTATCATTGTTGATACAAAAATTTAGACAGGTTAGGTAAATCAATATACAATTGGAGCAGCAATCGTAGTGAGCTAGGATGATAATTGCAATGGTGGTGTACTAATTTACCTGGCCTGACCAAACGTTTGTGTCAAAAGCCAAACCTTGTCCAACAAATTCGGCAATTAATTATTTCTAAACCTGTGAACTCGACTTTTTGATCAGATCCGTGTATCTTGCAAGATCGTCTTACTTGTGCTAAGCCATGTTGTGCGCCACTACTCGACTTCAGGTTTACCTGAGAAGAACAAATACACACTTCCTTATAACCAAATCTTAATGAATGGTCGCTGATATTAAATTCGTCCATTCCAGCCTTTTTACAAGGGTTCAATAATCTGTCCGACAGACAAGTATGCAAGTTCATATCCCTTATCCACATTAGTCTCCCTATTAGTATGTATTCATGCGCTGCTCAGGCAATCTGCTATACCTTCCAACCTTGAAGCTGAGTGCAAGTAATATGCCTAATACCAAAACTATATGGACAGGTCTTCTATTATGAGCAGTTTGTGGAATGTCAAAGAGCAATGGGATATGCTAACTCGCTGCGCGGTTTATTTATATAGTATAAAGAACGAAACTAACTGGAAGTCCCATCTTGTGCTGATCCAGTCAAATATGAGTTAGTCGTTCAAAGTTACTACTTCGTCCACGCGGCTACCCGTTTGAGATCCGGCACCTGTCAAATGAACATTCTTCCGCAGTTACCTACTAATTATTCAAGTGGTGGCTAACTGTTTTCCAAAATCATCAGTGGCCATCGGGGACGAATGCCACATATACCATCAAACTGCCCTCTACTCTGTCGCCATTTACCTTAGTCAACAATTTGTTGAATCCATTATTGGCAAATCCCTTAATTACCGGTTGTTCAACGCCCATAGTTAGTATATAAATATTAATCGCCGAATAAATTGATATGACGTCCTTACGTCAGTTCCGCACTACCATACATTAAATCCAAAGATGAAGTTTAAAAATAACATAAACCTGTAGTTGTGGGGATGTACTGGGGAAAAGTGGGGGAAATGAATTGTAAGTGCACATTACCTTATCGTTAAAAAAATCACTATGTCCCACTGCGAAGTAGGTAAAGTATGGAATTCGTGAAATAATATATTCCAAACACTCCGTCGATAATTCTGTGGATGTTAGGTCAAGTTCACAAATTTTTGAATTTTCCCATTGAGCGGCCATCATATACTCATCTCTCAAACCTGTATGGGGAGGAAAATTGAAGTTAGTGGAACCTGTGAACAACCTGTGTATATAGGACAAATATTCCAATAAAGGTACTTTGCATGAATCATGTTAGTTAGAAATGGATTTATTCCATGCCTTTCATTTTGGCAGGCAGGCAAGTACAACGAAACAACTGTACACTAAATAAATAGTAGTTTATTGGACGCTGGACAATAATACCGCAAAAAGCACATTATATGATCTTTGCAATCACCTGAATATGCTAATGATGTAGTGGGCTTCGTTGAAGTAGGATTAGTAGGTGGTATTTTTGTGTGAGGGGTTAGTGCCTACGTGTGTATTTTAACATAAATCGCCAAAAGTTCTCGTGCTGTAAACCTTTAAGAATTGACGAACCTTAGGTATCAATATAAGTTAGATAGTATTGGATGCGAGTCTAATCATGTCATTAAAAAAATTATTTTGCTTGAGTATTCTTTTACTTCAGGATACTCAATGTTGATGATAGCTGAAGCAAAACTTTTACGATAAAGGTGATCATTTGGCTTTAAAACACTGAAAATCAACTCCACTTTGAAATCTTGTTCTGTGTCACAGAACAAAGTCGCAAAAGCGACCACTGAGATGTATTTAACCGGACTACATGCCGCACGACCACTTCAACTATGCACAAATACTTGCTACATATAAAGATGTTGAACGAGGTGTGTCTTTTACATAATAAACTAAGCACAGATTAGAACGGTTGTTCCTGAAGTCAAAGCCTTGTGGTGCATTAATTTTGTCACATGGCTCTAAACAGAAGCAGTGCACCGAATTAGCGTCAATTTCCCAAAGTAGTGTAGATCTGCGATAGAATACTAAGCTCTACGTTCTTGGGAAAGTTCTAAGTTTTTAACATGCAAGCTCAAATACTATCATGAATCCCAAAATATCTTCCTAACTGTATATAACCATCCCCGTTCAAGTACACAAAACGAATGCTTAGGTCAACACCAGGTATCCTTTTCTAATATACAGCTGTGGTGTCATTACTGTTACTAATGTTAGTAACGTGTACCATTGCATAATTCTGACCACATTACTTTTGTCTTTACCATTGACTTGATCGAGGTAGAAGGGCCAACTTATCACGCACGATGTTGCGCCATGCAGGGCGACAAACAACGTCAAATTTTTATCCTGCCTTCCATGCACAATCAGGCCTAAAACGTTAAAAGTCTACAGCGAACGTTATCGGCGTCTCTTGAGATATCTCATAATGTTGGGTCAGATCCTACGAAACCACAACCTCACTTACCACAATATTTTGAAATTCAGCCAAAGCATATCTCTAAGATGTTATCAGTCTAATTTGGATGCGCAGTACAGCCACTAGAATGTAGATGGAAGATATTTTCCCTCCGAGTATCACAGCTCTGGAACTCAAACCCAGTGTATATCTAGAAAAGTGGTCAGTTTCATAATTCTTTTAAAAAGCAGACAGGATTGCTCACAAGTGCTAATTCAAATGTCTTGGTTAGCGTTGTAGCTCAAGCATTCCCACACCGAGACTGTTTTATAACTTTCAACCTTACCATCAAACTAGGCTTATCAAGCATTTGTGTTCATGTCCGTTCTAAACCAAAGCTCCATTGTTTCATTGCCCAGCCATATAACGCACTTGATAAATATGACGAACTTGAAACCTAATTGGATCAACCCACATCCATTTTACTAGGAACACGAACGGTGACAGCCTTGCAAACTGCATAGAGCCATGAGCGAACGACACATGGACAATGGTTGAATGGGCTAGTCCACTGATAACGGTGGCTCACTGCTTAGTGTTGTTTTTCTTTTTCTATTAATAACTTCTATCTGAGCATCTGACGGAACATCCCAATCTTCGGCTTACATACCCGGTATTCCTTTACCCAATGTCAACTAACCCTATTCTCTGAGATATTTGTAACCTGCCTGTCACACAAAGTCGAGCCACGCCATACCTCAGGGGGCCTGTGAGTCACAATAATTTGATGCCGTTATTCAACTCCTGATAGTATATAAAGCCAGTCTTGAGAAGCCATTGCTTCGGTTACAGTTGGAGCCGATGGGCGTGCACTAACGTCGAGTTTTGACAGGACAAAACGGCTGTCTAGTACATTCATGAACAACTGAGAGCGTTCTGATTTCGAAGCCATTGCATAGAATCCGCATTACGGTACATATTTTCTACTAAGCACTATCCAGCAGTGAGTTGAATGCTTACTGAACTTAATTAATTGCTAATAATCTAACCAAAACAGAATTCGGAAGGTTAGCAGCAGTGTAAGTCAAGAACACAACTTATTATGCTTCAGCTAATTCATCATCTTCACTGTCTGCCTGGTGTTTAGTTACGAAGAAAGAGGGGGTGCTCTTTGTTCCGAAGGCACAGCCTAATATAACGATCCAGCAAGTTAAACTTGTTATGGAAGACAAAGTTAATCGAATGTAACTATACCGAACAAACATTTAATGCTACCTAAACTAAAAAAATGCTTACCACAATGTTCGAGTAGCAGCGTTTTTACCTTTGTACAATTTGCGATTAGCAAAGCAAACGAAGAACCTTTGACATTTAGACAGAAGTTGAGCGCCACGCATTCCAAATGAATACAGTTGGTAGCCAAAAGTTCCACATGGCTGTCCTCGATAAAGTTGATACCATATAGGTTGATAACGCGCAAATTTGGTGTGTGGGCCTTTATTTTACTGATATTGATAACCTACGCATGAAATGGATAGAAAAGAAACATTTACGGATGTTGTTAGAACGTGGTGCACAAGCACTGACCACTACCCTTTAATACTGTCTGATGAAACACGACTAATTCCAGCTAAGTCTTCGGTACACCAAAGTAATTTTAGCATATTAGAACAATCTTAGTTATGCAGAGGATTATATAAAACTGCGCTAGCTCACGATAATTGTGTCAAATGCGGTGCGTCATATGCACCATTTGATTAATGTGCACGAAGCAAAATTAAAATAAAAAGGAATTATAGTAAACTTACGAACGAAAATTGAATGTTTTCCGACCAAAAACGCTGCACATCGCGACGCATTTGTATCTTATTTGATCTCCTTAGGTGACAATAACAGGGCTTGATCCCACTTCATTAGAAACAACTTCCATCCCTTGGGCTACCGGGTCAGCACAAGCAATATTCGACACACTGAGTGACTTGCCAATTGACTTGATTATTTTAGACATGAGCTATCGAAGCAATGTCTGGTTTGGATAAAATTAATAGAAAAACAACTAGATATTCCATTCCAGACATATCGGCATTGACTTAGTGAAATTCTTAGACGAAAAATCTCTGTCCTCTTGTATCATGCTTCATGAATATTTCACTGTCGTACGAGGTCTTTGGACTCAGGTATGATATACACGAGTGATTGAACAACAACGCTACCGCATGTGATAAACCGTAGTTGACTAATGCAATTGGCTAAGGAGCTTAACAATTTGTTAGACCTTTTCACTTTGGCAAAGTGCTTCGCAGTTTTTCGGTGAAACGAGACATTTCGATAAAAGTATACCATGTGCGCAGTGATCAGTTAATTCTAGCTTGGAACGAGTTTGGTGCGCGGTGGTTATCTGCTTTAGTAAAGAACACCGAAATCGTTTCGGACGCCAATTCTTGTTGGAAGGTCCTTTCAGATCCTCAGCAGTGAGAAAACCCAACCCTGAGGATGAATGGACGGATGCTTGGCAACGCTTCGCAACACGAGTTGCAGTTAGTAGCGTTTCAGCAACCATGAGTTCAAGTAGCTTTACATGCTTGCCAGCTGGTTTCTAGAATCATCGTGGCTTGTGTTACTGCTATGCGTTGAAAAAGTAACCCCGTTCGGAGATTCAGTACCAAAACCATGTCGGGAATCCGGAGGCCAAATAAAATGGACTGCGTGCGATATTTGCTTATTGTATTGACTCAGTGCATACACACATTGTGCGCTTAGACCGAAATCTAAGAATGTACAGCACTCGACATTGGCTTTTGCGGGAGGATCTCGTAATGTTTTACCAAATTCTGAAGAACCCAAAGCAAATTTGCCGTCCGCTGCTGGAATTGAACCACAACACTAACCTAAGTGGTTATCCTCTGAAACTGAAAATTCAGTATAGCCGGCTTGAATGCCGTAGAAATTTCTTTTCCCTCCGCGTGTGCCAGCCTTGGAACGCCCTACTTAATTATGTCGTCTCTGCCCCCAATCTGGAGATATGTAAAAAAAGTGTTGACGATGCATCGTCTCACTTACATTTCATTTTATGACTTGCCAGCCAGTGGCTACAAAACGCAATCAAACGGTGCCTTGCCAAACGCCTAACCAATGGATTTGTTGGTTATACGTTTAATACGCGAACATCTCCGCTATTCTACATAAATCTATGGTGACTCCACCACAACGCTTTTCACTTTATCATGCAATTGATTTTCGCAATAATTTCCATCCCACGGGACTTGTTACGCAATGCGTTTTTACCCGCAATAAACCATTGTTCCATTGTTCCATTATTGTACCTATATTATACCTACATTTTGCACCTACTCAAAATGGAACTGTTGGCCATAAGCTCCGTAGTTCCAACTCTTGTAAAGGTACCTGCATTAAATTTTAAAATGTAACATTTTGAAAGATGAAATTTGGCAGCGGTCTCCATCGTAGTACCTTTATGTCTACCTTAATATCAAAGTACAAATAAGATAACACAAACGTTATTTAGGACAACATCTAAAAACTGGCCTATTGCGGCGTTCAAGGTGCATGAATGACAAAAATGTAAATTGATGTAAGCGTTTTCTCGTCTACAGGTTCAAAGCAATTTATGACTGCATTCAAGCTACATATCTTACCGACACAACCAGTCTAAACATTACATTTGGTTGCCAATCTTACTTAGATGCAAGCTGCACAACACTGAAGTGCATTTACCGTCAGATCTCTGTGTATTTCAGCCATAGATTATCGCACCAAATGCTACCGTGGACGAAATGGCAAAAGTTTACAGCGGAATATCGCCTACATTAAGTCACAAAAATCGGAGACACACGGCCGACTGATAGCTGTTTTTGACATGCGCTGGGTGAACATTGATACTTATGGGTCCACTATTAATTTCATTCTTAGCAATATGGGTGTTGGTTGTTAAATATTGTGAGGTGACTTTCCCCGATGATTTGGGAAGACTAACTTGGCTGGTTACCTCTCAGGCATATCATTCTTTTGGAATATCATTGCGGAAACACCTGCAATATTGGTGTTTAATTCTTGACTTCATAACCAGGATATCCATGAAAGAAAACAGGATAACTTTGTGATGCATTTTTTAACCTTTCCTCTTCCCTAACAAATTGGGAACAAATCGGTGATGACTATGAACCGGTTCATCGGATGAATTAGCAAAAAATGGGACATAGTCTAAATCAGAAATTGGGTCAATAATAAAGGCATACGATTAGGATTCACAAATAAAATACCACATTAGGCTGTGACAACGCCGCTGAATAGCGACAGTGAATGTGTCTTACCAAGAGAACAACTGTACGAGCCAAAGGTACGTTTTTCTATGGGATTCAAAGAAATCCCTAAACTAGTGGGTTTCCATTAGCACAACGTGATTGTTGTGAAACCGGTAAGAAGGTTAATTAGACATCATTTGAAGGATGTTTGTGAGTAACGTAATTAGACATAAGTTTAGCAAAGTCCAATAATGCATTGATGTCCTTTAGCGGTGAAGAAAAGAAACTTTTTAACGCTTTAATTTACATTAGACACCCATGCTCTTTTAACTAAGGCTAAGCTCCTGTCTGGGCTACTTAACTTCTTTCATATGTACAGGCAAAGTTTTCCTCTAATTTATGTATACGAATAAGTTATTTTGCAAACAAGTTCTCCTACAAAATCTTTAGTAGCTACAACAAAACATGTGGTATTACCTCGTATATCTCCTCTTCTTCCTCTGTCGCTTGCTCAAACGTGCCTAGCAAACGGCAAAAGAAAATTTTGACCAGTTGATGCGTAGATGTGACAGAAAAGCAGCAAAATACGCGAATGTTGGCTTTGCTTACAAAAACTCTACGAAACTGCTTGTACGCTAACAATAGTTCATAGCTTTCACCAGGAAACACTCGGTAATAACATCATGCTTTGATGCCCCATAGTGGGTAAAGAAGAAGCTTTGAGAACATACCATCTGGACCCAAAGAGTAGTGAAATCCAGTCGTAGAAATATAACCCATTAAAAGTGCAGTGGGCTGGAAACAGGTGGAAATTGTTGGATGAGTACTTCTTGTTTTCGGGGCTCGCCAGTTGTGGCTGCTCGCTCTGACCACTAAGTGGGACGAAACTGTGGCTTGGCTTTGCAAGCGGATTTTGAGTCTCCCGGCTACAGCCGGTAACCACAGGTTACGTTGGTAAACAAATAGTTTTAATTTAACATAAACTGCTCATTATGTACTAATAGAAGCCCCTCACCAGTCTCCTGAGAATTTGAAAGTGCCCAGGATGCATGTATTGCCATAGGTTTGTTGGTGGTTTGTTCGCTGGGAAGCCGGTGCACAAGCGACTAACCTGTCTTCTATACCGCAGTAATAAATAAATAAATAAACTTTTTATTCTCGGCAAGGCCAGCCAAACATTTACAGGCATGCTCATGTTATGATAACAAAGTGTGAATAAAAATGTACAAAAATACAACATATTTGCCATAACAGTGAATGTGCGCATGATTGTGTATGTAACTGCGCATAGGTGTAGCTTTCTAGCTTGTGTGTGTAATACAGCTATCATATTCACTTGGTCCACTGACAAGAGCCAGAAGCTCATAACTGTTGAAATTGGGTCACCTATCTGAGAGCTGATTGCGCACAAGGAGAGCACCCTAATGCCCTATTCTTTTCCGGATATCAACGGATCTTTGACTCGGTCTAGTTGTGAGGTATTAGGTCAGAGAAACGCGTTTCCACATGCAGGAATGTAAGGAAATACATTTGTTATGAAACATGCCCTGCGTACCTTGTATCCCTGGTTTAATTCTAGCTGTTACAGTTACCATACAAGAAAGCTAGATGTTTTATTGCAAAAGTTGTGGGCCTAAATGTTCCCTTTAGTCCACAAAATTGTGCTACTGGTGAATTTTCAGTGAAAAGTTTTCCTTTCTGCTAAGTGTACGACGGCCATTACGTTGTATATTGCTACTAATGAAAAATACATAAATATACGTGCGTCTTTGTGCGGTAGCAAAAGAAAAACTAAAAGTGTTTTCATTTGCTTATATAGCCATATTACAAGAAAAAAGTAGCATACCATCCGATATATTTACAAAAATCCGCTTAGCTAATCATTTAATAACTTCAGTATTCCTGTTTTATTTGGCAGCGATTAACAGCATGCACCAAATGGTAAAGAATTTTCGAACACACGATACTTTGTACTTACCGATTAGATGTAGAATTTCAACAGACGATAAGTAGGAGTATATCTTCCTCATAAGCCCTTCCATAAAAATAACGTCGCTGAGGCATATGCACAAATAGTGCAAGGAGGACGGGAAAGCCACTAATTCATTAAAATCGTGTAGCTGCATGGCGTTGCTGAAGTCCAGAGTTAGAGACCGAAGCGCTGGACATCGGTTCCCAAGCTCTTCCAAAACAGGAACCGTGATTAAATCACTAGAGAGGGAAATGGTGCGTAATCCTGCGGCTGACCGATGGTGAATCAGATACAGTAAGTCGTCCACCGATCTCACCTGTTTTTGTTAAAAATAAAAAAGAAAGGCAACTACGGATCGTTAACTATGACAATGCGGCAAAGCGTAAATAAATGACTACCTATCCTGCAACTAAAAACAACCTTTTATGCGTCACCAAGTTTAAGTAATGTGTCAGTAAAGTTCCAGGACTTACGTAATAAAATAATTATTTCAAATCTAATCTTCACACATTTTAAGTAATCTCCTTAGAGTCTAATGTGATTTCTTCTCCTTCTTTGCCACACTTACTGGCACAATTGGAAGAATTCCTTCAGGATCCTCTGCAGTTCCACCCTCACAGCCTTTTTGACGTCATCTACCACTTCCAAACTGGTTCCTTTGACGAGTTGAATCTGGACAAGGGGAGTATCATAAAGAGTACGGCCGGGTGAGTAGAGAGGTTGTTGCAGCATGGTGATGTTATTCTCGGCAAGGAACTGTCTTTTGCTCACGGCACTGTAAGAGGGCGCATTGTAATGGTGAAGCAACCACCAGATGTCCAACCATAACGCTGGCCACTTCGCGCGCACTGAACGAAGCAAGTGCCGTAGTGTCTGTTTGTGAACATGTTGCTTGATTGTCTAGCCCAGTGACAAGAACTCTCAATGGACGACCTCCCATACAGAATGGTATGATCAGCATGACTTTGACTTCTGCCGTCGTCGGAGGGCATTAAACTCTTCCAATGAAGGCCATAGCGCTTGGTTCTACTCGAATCTGCATGACCCATCACCGGTGATGTCTCTCGCTTTCAAGTCTGGTTCCTTTTCAAGATGAACGAGGGTGTCCTGACACAAGCGAGTCTATCCTCATGATCATCGTACAAACTTTACGACACAATCTATGCGCAAACTATTGCATGTCCAGATATTTTGTGGGATCTTCCAGACGCTACCCAGATCAATGAACAGTTAAACATCATCGTAGAACATGCAGCAGACAATCGCTTCGCACCATGAACTTGGCGCACTGAGCGTGGACTTCAGCCCTGGTCGTTGAGGACCTACCACTCATGCGTTCATATCCTTTGTCCTCGTGATTTTCAGTAAACTTGCTGCACCACTCAAAAATATGTTAGCTTATATTGCCTCATCTCCGTACTTTTGGTGCAGTAGTCCCGGAGCTTCTGACGACATATAGCAAAATTATGGAACTCTACTTTTAGCATAATTGACATATGTCAACACTAACTTGCAAACCTTTCTGTGTAGAAAATCACAATTGACACCTATATTCTTATGCATGCCTTGGGTTATGCTGTTTCAAAATACGTTTCTCCGTGGCCAAACGTTGGCGACTCCAAGGATAGCTACTTTGAATAGTGATGGCTTGGGGATTCCCTACATTTAGACAATCCCCTTCAATCAACTTGATGCAAAGTATTGATAGAAATGTGCAAAATTTAAAGAAAAAGGAGCCAAACGTTAGTACAACTATTGAAGATTATGCATTACCAGCTTATGGGATATAAATCAGACAATTTCATCGTGTAACAATTGTAGTCTGAGCGACATGTTGTTGCATTGCAGACCAACCAGTTCATGGAAATTTAAGTCTTATGTTAGTCAAAAAGAGAAATCTTAGAAGAAAATTAACATCAATTATACTTTAGTAGCTTCTGGTGCCTTCCCAAGCTATTTTGGTGCGTTCCGTCAAAGTGTGACAATGAACCTCTGGGCGTCCGTCAAGCAATGTGATGACATCTGTTATGGCATGCAATTTCTAGATTATCTGAAGGATATAATATCAGTTGGTAACTTCTGTCAACGAGCACTGTATTAAGCATTAATTGTTCTGGATACTTGTTATCTGTTGACTTGCCTACAGATCAACTCATCATGGACTCATTTTGTTTTAGGTAAAAGTGTGAACTAATGCAAAGCCTGTAGTAGCCGAGAACAATAGTTTCTTTGCTAGCAATACCTGATCACATGATTAGAAAATATACTGAAAAATCGTATCCTAAATGGTTGTGTGATCTTTCAGCATTATGTACAAAATTCTGTTGGCTTAAATGTAGGACAGTTTGCTTGGAACAACTTGATCATTGGCAATCGTTTTTAGGCAAAGCCGTGGAATCATTTAGGTATAACACACCAACACAACGGATGGAAGCCGTTAAGTAGATGGCTTACAGATTAACAACTGGAATCGTCACGTAACCTTCAGTTTGACCACTGGTTATAGTTATGAACATTTGCTTGGCCCAGTTGGTCAAATTTCTATTCAAGATGCTTATTAACCGTGAGTAAGGGCACACTTCCATGAAGACCAACAAAATGTGGGGCAGATAAACACTAGTCAAGTTACTCTGCAGACTTCCTAGCTTCAGCACTTGCGTTATGATAAATGGTATTTCTTACAAGTATTGATTTAATATTATTAAGTTTTGCGCTGCTAGACAACATTGGGAAGAGTTTCTCCCACACCTGGCTTTTAGTAGATATAATATATGACTCAAGTGTGTGAGGCAGCTTGTGAAACCAGATTAATCTGTTTAAGCTTCTTCCACATAATTAACATACAGACAACTTTTGGTACCTTATTTTAATTTTTACCTACTGTTCTCACGACCCTTTGCTCCTGGTTATGGCACTCAGTTTGTTTCCAGGATACCCTTTGGAAATAGTCTCTCAACATCTATCATACACGTCGAAAAAGACAGTAAACCTCCTAAAGAATGCAGCGACATACGAATTGCAGAGCAGAAATTCATTTCCTAGATGATTCGTGGCCGCTTGTACAAAACGTGAGACCACTTTTGTATCGAATCGGATGACAGAAAAGCGGTAATTCACGCTGGGTTGACATTAGAAACTGGTCAGTGAGCATCAACCGATTTTACTTTGATTCCGTTTGTTATTACCTTACGTAGCTCCATGAAACATGAAAGCAAGTTTTGTCCAAGGGAGAAATATTCAGTGTATTATTTGTGGAAAATATTCCGTGTTTATCAACTACGCAGCTATTCAGTAGTAAACGCGCACACTGAATACTCACTGCAAACACAGGGTAATTTGAGTCAAAAACGGACTCACAGAAATGCCACCAAATTCCGGACGAAGATTTAACGATTGCCACAATGATGAGTCATAGGCATAACGCCGCCACTGTTTGCAAACCCTCGCAATGTTGCACAGCTCCGGATGAGACAAGTACGAGAGAATTCGGAGCATTAGTTTGTCCGGCAGCCTGGTGATGAGGAACTGAAACATAAAATCTCTTTTCAGGGGAAGATTGCAATTATCATGAAGTAAACTGTGATAGTCCTTATGTATATTTTTCCACAATAAACCAAAGACGACACAAAAATTCAGAGCAAGTGCATTTGTTGACGAGTTCCATCACTAAGCGAAGCCGCTTCACAAAAGTAAAAACGACACTTTAATTCCACTAACAGTTAAAGTTCGCATTCATATAAAAACAAAATTCGTCTGATTGCTAAGTGGATTAACCAATTAAATTAAGTCTGCTATTTTGAGCGTTAATAAAAAAGTGCCCCTTTAGTTGTTAAAAAGAGTCATCAACACTTACATCTGTATTGAACACGGAAGTTCGGCGGAACGTGGAGGCACGCCGCATATCTCTAACAATTTCAACGATCGATTTAGTTGCCATTGGGGTGCTATTATATTGCCCTTGACACGGGGGTACGCGTTGTTCGATGAAGTTGGCAATCAAGAAAATCGCCGGGTTGCCGTCTGATGGGTGCAACTATCATTGCGATCCTAGATACCCGCGTTAACGTTTTACAATTGGTGCGAACTGGGTGTGCACAACTTTCAGGTCGATCGAACCCATCCAGCTGATAGGATGCCTACTGGCCAAAATCGATGGCACTCGGTTAAAACCCTGTGTGTGATTTGGCCTGTCGGGATGCTGACCTCAGAAAGGGAGGATAGGTGAAATGCAGCGCGATTTTTTATTCATTCGGATGTAGCGCGGTATAGTTTTAAATGACAGCCATGAATTGACTAGTACCATCTTCACTGTAGTTGGCTAGACTTCAACTAGAGATTCAACGTGTCAAAGAACATCAATTACTATGTTTTAACATACACTCAAATATTAGCTTGTTCGAAAACAAAGGGTTATAAATGTCTGAATTGGAAAACTCAAACTGTGATCAAGGGTACCGAGATTTGGAACATATTTTGCGGCTTCTTATCTAGCTAGGTGATACCCAGGAAACACGTGGTATGGTATCGCCTGCCGACACGACCGATTACAAATCTATGTCCGTTTTAGCCAAAACTGAGCCCAAGGTTATCCGTAAGACAGCTTCTAAAGCAAGCATCTTATCAGGTAATGACAGTAGATCAGATACAATTAAACAAGATAACTTTCAGTTGTTTGCTGCCTTTTCAGTAGAAATTGATTCTCAGTACCAATAGCCAAGCATACGAAAAAGACACAGAATTTATTGGATCCAGAAACCAGTCTAGAAAAGGGAGCGAATGGTGCGGTGGCAAGGCACCTAATTTCGGTTCTTGCTTCTGCCTACACGGCTATGCCAACGACAAAGTTATAAGCAACCAATGGGTAATGAGTATGGAAGTCAAATAAACGCACCTCCACAATCGTCTTCTTCATTGTACACATTCCTATTACGCCTATTTGCACTTTTCTCTCACATTTAGCCATGATAATTACCCATATTGCTCCAGTTTAATGTGTGCCTCTACCAACATCCGTTACTACTAAATAATCTCGAAAAATTCAGCCAACAGAATGTGTTTAAGAAAAATTGATGTCTACTTTCTACATCTCTGTATTCATCTCTACAAAAGACCCAATCCAGACTTGGATACCCTGTGGAATATCAGGTAAAATGCTGAGACAACAGTCCTATTTTATGTTTGCTTCAAAATTAAATCATTTTTTATTACTGTTGTACATTCTGCGATCATTCGGGTTCCTTGAAATAAAAAGTTATTTTATTTTTTAGGATGTGCCGTCATAAGCATGTCCCGCGGAAAATGTGAACATTTATTTATTTAAGACAGTTCGAATTTTATATTCCAGGCAAAATAAGTTATCATCGGCCCATTTTTATTTACACATTCTAGGAATTGTCCTCCAGACAATGGTTCAGATTTTAGGATCACGTCTAGTATCAGGCTTACATAAACAGACATAATGCGTGGGTCTGCAGACCATCTAACCGGGATGACCTAAGTACTAACTAGTGAAATTCCAAATGACGTGTCGGTTTGGTTGAAAATTGAAATAAAAAGGTGACAACGATTTCCAATAAATAAAGTGCAAAACTCGTTCAACTTTCGCAATATAATAACAGATGAGGTAAGCAGAGGCAACAGTTGTTAAGCAACTGTTTCGACGTGCATCCAGGTCCCAGCATCTCCGAACATTTACAATTGCACTTTCAGACTACCTGTAGGAAACGTAATCTACCTTCGAAAAGATTCTAGTCTAATTACGACAATATTCAGCATGCCGTCCAATGAGCAGTAGCGAATAGACAGGGCGTGTCTACTTCGGCAGCTTTTCGAAGTTGCTAGTTAGACAAGCGATTTCTACCCCGTGAAACAGTTGGATGGAATCACAACTTCAAAGCGCCAGTCTGATTAACTTTCCCTTCAAGCTGTAAAGGCGCAAAATCTTTATTTCTATGGTACCGTGTATGTCCATGGAAATCCCTGACAGCATGCTGTGGACGTGCCAAGTGGTTAAGCAGTGTACAGTACTTTGCAAAACCCATGAATGCTGTTGTCAATCAGGTACATAATATTGATAAGGTGAAGAAGAGCTTCACCGTTACGCATAACTTGTTTAATCACACTAGTAATTTCGGTTTTTTTGTACTTAGGGGAATGACAAGCTTTCATCTATAAATGCACAATGAAGTTGGAAGTACACTGTCCAGTTAAACATGTAGCAATGTCCCATAGAGTAGTCATGCCACATTTATGTACGGTGTGTTTGTAAACATAAAAGTGTAGTTCTGTGTCAGTTCTCACGTTTGTCACTGTCACCAAGGTAGAAAGAGTAGTCTCAACGCAATATTAAAACATCTTAAAATTTTATACATTAGGTTTAGCAAAATACCTTGCGCACATATATTTTGGCATCTTATTCTACTGGAACCGCGTATTACTTCGGAGTGAGACACTTCCACTCACGCAAGACTTGCAGGAGTGCGGAAGCCGTCCTTGTAGACCAACAGAACTGGTTAGATTTCACTGGAATTTTTGATCCACTATCGTTTCTCCACTTTAGAAGGCTGCTTTCAAAATATTACTTGTGCTACACGAGATTTTTACTTGCAAACGAATTGACAGCGCGTTTATTTGCTCTCCATATAAGATGCCACCCAATCACGTAGTCAAAGAAAGTGTCAGTAATCAATCCCTATTAATGACATATTTTGAACATTCGCGTCAACCATTAATAAGATGTGTGTAAACTTAGTCATGGTATTCTCGCTTTTTCCATTAAGGACGTGTCTTTCAGTGTGAATGTCTTCTGATTATCAAACCAGGTTTCTGAAGAGGTTCATGGTGAACCACAATTTCTCTGCCCTTTTTGTATGTTATAGGCCTAGGGCTGAGTTACCTCGCAGGAGATATGTATCGTTAATTGCATTTATGAAGTATAATGAAATAAGTTTTAGCTAGGACACTGGGGGTTGTGTTTAACAGTTCAGCGCAGAAAGAGAGTTTCGGCCTGTCATGATTCTGTGATCGAAGAGACATGTGTGCTCATGCTGATCAAACCGCTTGCTGTGCGCAAGTCATTTTCCACTAAAACTATGACACTAGTTAAATTCGGTCATTATAGCTCTGGTACATGATAGCTCATCACAGAAATGTTGGGTTATCTTTGGATAAAGCAAGCACTTCCTTATGAAATACCTTTGGTTGAATCTGACCACGGAGGCAAGTAATAGTCTGGCGTGAAACTGAAGCCCTCATTCCTTTAAGGTGGAAAGTCTGGGGTTAATTTATCTTCGTACATACTGCAATGCTGGATTACGTAAAAGATATGATGTGTGCGATGTATGTAGGGGTAACGGTCACAACTAACGTCCCGATGGTCCCGGGTTCGATGCCCGCTAACTCTATCTGATGAGATGTAATAACATCAAAAGCGTTATAGTAGTGCAATGTTTTCGGGCGGGCAACACCCAATTTCCATATGCTGTATATACTTTTATCCTATAAAAGCTGTGGTAAACTACTAATCAACAAATAAGTGAATTGCCATGAAATCCAGACAACTTTTGAGAACCGTAATGACATATTGTGCTTTGGATTGCAACCGGACGAACCAAACAACAATGCGATTAATCACATAATTATATAATAATTAGCGATAATTGAGAATACTAGTAGCATCAGGTGTGGAATGGTTTGTTGTTTTGTTCTCTTGAGAACATCTGTGGGCAGTTATAGTACTTGTGCACAGATCAAAATGCTAAGAAATAAGCCAACTTATTTAATGATAATAATTTTAATATTATTTTGTTTTGTTGAAAGCTAGGAAAAATGTGAATGTAGGGGAAACGAGAAAGCTACATATATTTTTCATATTTCTTGGCAATCTATGGCATTTTGCGCAGCGCCGACTATACTTCTATCAACACGAAAGGTGACAGGTTCCCAAACTGGGCATAAACCATGATAGAAGTTTGACGGTGGTATAGCTTGCTCTATTTTATGGTTTCTGTTATTTAGAGAACATTAATGGTAGAAACACCAAGGCTTTCGTTTTAAAAACATTAGGACCATGTTTACTTTGATGACTTATAAACATCACAAGCAAGCCAAAAACTGGAATACAGGGCAGGTGCCACCGCCGGGTTCCAACCGCATAAGATGGAAATTTCGCTCCAGAGTTCGAAGACAGTTAAGGAGGCCAACATAATGTTTTTAGACGATTACGCAGATGGCTACAACGAAGACTGATACCTTTTGACACATCAATATATATATATATATATATATATATATATATATATATATATTCGTCCTCAAATTTGTGTACCGTTAATGCCTAGTGTCAATCGTTATAAATAGACATTGGTCTCTGTGATCAGCCCCCAAAAATAGACACCAAGGCAACAGTTATGCTGCTTGGTCTGAACTAGAAAATGCCCTTCCGTTTAATCTGTATATTCTCTTCAAAAATCTCGTTCTTACACACCGGATTTCAAGAGGAAACAATAGTCCAAGAGATACGTAAG